AAAAAAAAAAAAAAAAAATAGTATAAACTCAATTAGGTGTACTTTAGACAGATCAATGGAACAAACTAACCCAGAAACAGACTTCAGTACGTACATATGAGAACTTAAAACATTATGAATTTGACATAAGTCCGTGGGAAAAGGATTACTCAGTAAGTAGGACAGGCAATTTAAAAGAAAATATTTGAGAGCACATGAGCCAGGGGAGGGGCAAAGAGGGAGAGAGAAAGAATCCCAAGCAGGTTACAAGCTCAGCACAGAGTCTGACACAGGGCTTGGTGATCTCACAACTGTGAGATCATGACCTGAGGCGAAATCAAGATTCCAACACTCAACCCACTAGGTTATAGGACTTTTTGGTAATCTGTCAAACTTCCAAATGCACATAACCTTTGGCCTAGTTTATTAGGATCTCCAGAGAAACAGAACCAGTAGGATATATACCTTTTATTATAAGTATGTATTATGACTTTTAAACAAATATAAAAGACTTATTATGAGGAATTGCCTTTCATAATTCTAGAAGCCGAGAAGTACCATGATCTGCAAGCTAGAGAACCAGGGGGAGCCACTGGTGTAAATCCACTGAGGGCAGAAGATAAGATGTCCCAACTCATGGGTGAGGCAAACAAAGGGGCAAATTCCTACTTTCTCCAGCTTTTGTTTTATTCAGACTCTCCATGAGTTGGTTGAACCCCACCCTCACTGCAGAGGGCAATCCACTTAGTCCACAGATGGAGTGGTATGGAAACATCCTCAAAGACACGAAATGTTTAATTTGAGCACCCTGTGACCAGTCAAGTTGATTAGAAGAAATTGTCCTCCCACCCAGCAATTCCATTTCTAGAAATTTCTACTGATACAAAAGGGGCATGTGCAAGGTTATATATTTATAAGTGTATTCATTGCACCTTGGTAATGACAAAGGATTGGAAACAACCTGAATGACTCCTCATAGACAGGGTGATCCTATGTTCTGGGCTTAACATACCAGTTATACCTGCTGGTTTTGGTGTAATTATTAACGCTCCTTTCATCTGTCAAGTGTCCCACTTTAGGTAAGAAATTATTTGGTCACCCTAATTGTAGAGGATTGGTTACATTCATGACTACATTTGCCCAATGAAAAAAAGAATGGAGCAGTTCTTTAGTTACTGAGAAATCCACGACATGACGTTCAGTGACAAAAGCATGGTGTGAGATTGCATGGTATGCTGCAGTTTATATATAAGAAGAAAAATACACGCGTGTGTTCATGTTTGATTGCATATGGTAGACTTGTCTCTGAAGATACACAGAAGAACCTGGTGGCACTAGTGGACTAGGCACCTGGGGGACAGGGAGCCCACAACTGAGCCTGTTTACTGTAAACTTCATTGGTGGTTTCTGAATTTTTAAATTCAAACACAATAAAATTTAAGTATTCAAGCAAACACAATTTATAATAATACGGTGATGGGGTATTTGGGGAAGAAA